GAATTCCCCTGGGAAGCCATCTGGCCCTGGGCTTTTGTTTGTTGGGAGATTTTTGATTACTGCTTCAATTTCCTTAGTGGTTATGGGTCTGTTCATAAAATGTAATTTTAAATGTTTGTATAATACCCCACTCACTCAGTACAAAAGGAAGTAACGTTGATGGAGTACATACTGTGTCAGACACTATGCAAAATAATCAACTTGTCTCGTTTTATCCCCATAGTAGTTCTATATGATAAGTGTTACTATGTCCATTTCATAGATGAAAAAATTGAGGCTTAGCTTAGTTTATTTCAGTTTGGTAAATGTTAATTGAGCTCTACCACATTCTAGGTATGGTGCTGATTTCTGGAGATTCAAAGATGGGTGGGACATGGTCCCTTGTATAAAGAATTCAGAAAATGGTAGGGAAGAAAATGAGTAAAGAGGTGATTTCAGTACTGTATGCTAAGTGCAGTGACAGAGAAGACCACCTGACCTGAATTAGGTTTGGTCAGAGCAGTTTTCCTAGAGCAGTGCTTCTCAGACTTTAATGTGCATGTGGAAGTACCTAGGGTTCTTATTGTAATGCAGATTTTGATTTTTGGGTCTTTGGTAGGGTCCAAGATTCTTCATTTCTAACAGGCTTCTAAGTGATGCCAATGCTGCTGTTCCACACACCTCACTTGAAGTAGGAATAGCCTAGACAATACAGATTTTGAACGAATACCAGTTAGCCAGGTAGAGAAATGAGGAGAGGTATTCAAAACAGAGAGGACAGCGTGGGGAAAGGCATAGAAGCATAAAAAAGTGTGTTAAATTGGTATGCTCTTTATAATCTATGGCGGGTGTTGGCAAACTATGGCTCATTGCTGAATCTAGCCCATAGTCTATTTTTGTATAGCCCATGTGCTAAGAATAGTTTTTACATTTTTTTAAAAGATTTTATTTATTTGACACAGAGAGACACAGCAAGAGAGGGAACACAAGCAGGGGGAGTGGGAGAGGGAGAGGGAGAAACAGGCTTCCCTTGGAGCAGGGAGCCCAACGAGGGGCTCGATCCTGGGAGTCTGGGATAATGACCTGAGCTGACGCTTAAGAACTGAGCCACCCAGCTGCCCTAGTTTTTACATTTTTAAAGCATAAAACAAACAAACAAACAAACAAAAACCCAATCCAAACAAAGAGTAACTTTAATAGAGATGCACAAAGCCTAAAACATTTACTACCTAATCCTTTGCAGAATAAGCTTGAGACCTCTAATCTGGTATGGTGAAGTGTAAAATCTGCAGTGGGCATAAGTGGAAAACGTTGTTAGAGATAGATAGTAAGCCGGGGTGGGGCTGGGAGGATGGTGCTCACCAAGGGCCACAGAAGAGCTTGGTCTTTATCTTTGAGGTGATAGAGAGCCAGGACAGGATTTAAAGAGGGAGGTGACAGGCTCAGCTTGTGTTTTAGAAAAATCTCTCTAGCAGAATATAGATGCAAGGGAGCAATGCTGGAGTCAAGGATACCAATTGGGAGGCCTGAACAAAGGAAGATGGAGTAGGAGGGGATGGATTTGAGAACTGCTGGGACAAAGTTTTTCATTCTCTTTTGACTGTAATCCATAGGAAGATAAGTGTTTTATTTCATGACCCAGCACACATAGACACACCCACAATGCCAAACTTATCACAAAACATTTGTTTTTATTGTAGGTGAACTCAAATATTTTCATTCCATTAAGGAAAATGGTGTTTACTACCTAATACATTGGTTTTATATTGGGTCATAACCTACAGTTTGAAAAACACTGATCTAGGGAAGTGAAAACAGTAGGTTTTTATCACTGACTTCGTATAAAGGAGTGGGGAACAAGGATTGGCATGGGTGAATGGTGTTGTTCGCAGCTGAAATCTATAATAGAAGGGGGAGCCATTTGGAAGGTTGAGGTGATTCATTCATTTTTGGACATGGTGAATTCAAGAGTGCTGTAGGAAATCTAGGCTTTTCAGAAAGTAAGATACCGATTTTTCATTCAGTGAGTATTACTGCCTCACTGTTTTGTTCACCTGCTGCTATTTCAATAGCAACATTTTCTACTGTTTTTCTACACAAAGGTGTGTGTTTCAGGATTTAATAAACTTTTCTAGCCCGGACTAGGAATTCAGCCATTGTTGCCAACATTGTCAATGTTATAATGGGAGGAAGCATCATAACTTTCAAATAATTGGCTTATGTGGAAAATTTGTAAATTGAGGACTAACTTGTACATACTACTTTGAGATGCTTATTTCACTTAGTACTTGCATATTAGTTCAGTAAGATCAGTGTTCTGGTATATTGAAATATTTACCCAACAGAGAGTAATCAAATCACATCAGTTAGTTTGTGTATGATACTGTATGTGTGCAGTTTGCTTTAGTTCTGCATACAGATATACTATACTATTAGAGGGTTATCAGTTTTTGATTCCTTTACTTGTTCTATAAAGTTAATATAGGACCAATGGCGTTTTATCCATACCTTTCTCCCTGATAATATCATGATTATTTAAAGATATGCTTTTGTAACTAGAAAAGAAAATTTCCTAAGTTGACCATATCAGTGCAAATAACATAGATACATACCTAAGTTTAAAAGTTATTTTTTTTGACTAGGAATTAATACTTTTACATTTTTCTTTTTACAGATTGAATACTTGCTTAAGAAACTTACAGAAGTTATGGGAGGAGGTTGGCAGCAAGAACAGTTTGAACATTATAAAATCAACTTTGATGACAGTAAAGATGGCCTTTCTGTGTGGGAACTGATTGAGCTTATTGGAAATGGACAGTTCAGCAAAGGCATGGATCGGCAGACAGTGTCCATGGCGATTAATGAAGTCTTTAATGAGCTTATATTAGATGTGTTGAAACAGGTAAGAGTGCTGTCTCCTCACCTTCAGAATTTGACATGTTTGAAATAAGATATTTTCATCGGGTATAAGTCATTTACACTTTTACACTGATTTAGAACAGGAATGAAGTTTCTTATTTTCCCAGTCTTGTATTAGGCTTTAATTTAAAAAAAAACACTGGTACAATTTTGAAGTACACTTAAGCATTGGGAAATTACTATTTTGAAAGAACTGTTTAAATGACCACATTTTTAACTATTTTTAAAGTACTTTCATGTCGTATACAGCCATATTTATTGATCTGAAAGATCCTCATGGCATATCGTTCAGAGAAAAAAAACAGGTTGTTGAACAGGAAGTATCTTGCAACCCCTTTCATGAAATGTGATACACATTTGTAGGGCTGTCTGGAAGGATGGTCACCAAAGTGTTAAAAGTGATTGCCTCTGGATTGTGGGATTTCTGTAAATTTTATTTTCTTCTTTATTTCTTTCTTGTTATTGGACTTACTACTTTATAGGATTCTATACATGAATGTATGCATATGATTATATATTTTTATAAAATCAGAAAAATACCCTTACTTTTGGGAGAAAATACCTTTATTTAGCAAAATTGCATTTATTAGATTATGACCTGCATAGCATATGATATACATATGGGAAGCTTAATGCTTGTTAAATAGAATTTATTTATTTTTTAGTGGATCTTTCAGATTTCTTAATTATTATACTGAATAATAACTCCAAGTTGGGGTTTCCTTACCTTGGTCCTTTATTAACTAAGCAGGTGATGTTGTTGTCTTTGCTCTTTTTCCCTAATTGAGCCCATCAATAAACATTAATTGAGGTTCATTTGTGTAGGTTTTTAGTGCTAAAAAGAAGTGTGAGACATGGTCTCTGTCTAAAGACTTCTAGGCCCACCAGGATGGCAGGATAATTGGGACTACAGATGAATTTCAGTATGAGATAGCTTTTATTTAAATGTCCAAGGATTAGGAAACTGAACAAGTATATGATTAGAACCTGACATAATAATCAAATGATACAGCAAGGTAATAAATATTTAATGATAATATATAGTCCACTCTAGGCTATCAGCACTTATACATTTAATATTTAAAATGTTAGCTATTCTTGGGGCTCCTGGGTGGCTCAGTCGGTTAAGCGTCTGGCTCTTGGTTTCAGCTCAGGTCATGATCTTGGGGTGGTGAGATTGAGCCCCACGTTGGGCTCTGTGCTCCGTTGGGATTCTCTCTCCCTCTTCCCACCCTCTGCCCACCCCCTCGCACGTGTGAGCAGTCTCTCTCTCAAATAAATAAATCTTAAAAGAAAATGTCAGCTATTCTCAAACAACCCTGAAAGGCTTGGCCTATAATAATGTGTCATTTTGCTTAAGTAAAGATATGAATTATACACTTTGTGACTGATATGTGGGAAGGAAGTATAGGCCTGGAAGTGTGAGTGTAGAAGCTACATTTAGAAGCCAGAATCCTAGCTGCTAGTTCCTTTTCTGTTCATCTGGAGCAGAATTCTTCCTCCAGAATAGTGAGTGAGAGGTCAGGTAGAAGGGTAGGTTGGTGCCAGAAGGTGATTGGTTAAAAGATATATTTGACCAAGTTTAGCATTTTCATTGATTGAGGTTTTAAATTACTGAGAATCACTATCAGGGTTTTGTGTGTGTATGTGTTTTAATCAGAATAGACAGGATAGTATAGTGAACTCTCATATACCATTCATCCAGCCCCAGTAACCACCAACACATGGTTGATCCTACCCTTCCTACTTTTTCCTCTCCTGTATCTTGAAACAATCCCAGACATTTCTTTTTTTTTTTTAAGATTTTATTTATTTGTCAGAGAGGGAGAGTGAGAGAGAGCAAGCACAAGAGGGGGAGCGGCAGGCAGAGGGAGAAACAGGCTCCCTGCTGAGCAGGGAGCCCGATGCGGGACTTGACTGAGCCACCTTGGCATCCCCCAGACATTTCATTTTATCTATAAATATTTCCATAGGTATCCCTAAAAGATAAGGAATTTTAGGGGCACCTGGATGGCTCAGTGTGTTAAGTGTCCAACTCTTGATTTCGGCTCAGGTCATGATCTCAGGGTCATGAGATTGAGCCCCATGTCAGGCTCCATGCTGGGTGTGGAGCCTGCTTAAGACTCTCTCTCCCTCTCTTTAAGAAAAAAAAAAAAAAAAGGAATTAAAAAAGATCACAATGATTTTAGCACCAGGAGTTCTAAGACTACGTATATAGCATTGGGGGATGGAGGGTGGGGTGGACTGTTGTCTCTGCAGGTCCAGAATTATGTGTAAACTTTTGTATGCATGTATTTGACTGGGTTTAGTACTCCTGGCCTTCATAGGTCCTCAGTGGGTTCATGATCCACAAAGGTCAAGAACCACTTATACTCATGTATTCAAGGAAGAGATATTAGCTCTAATAAGTAAAGGGCCAGGCATTTATATCAGATTTAATCTTTCATAGGGTTACATGATGAAAAAAGGCCATAGACGGAAAAACTGGACTGAACGCTGGTTTGTACTGAAACCCAACATAATTTCTTATTATGTGAGTGAGGATCTGAAGGATAAGAAAGGAGACATTCTCTTGGATGAAAACTGCTGTGTGGAGGTAAGCCTCTTGTTACGTCTTTCTGATGCTGCCCCCTGCTGCTCAAGTCTTTTTATCTTGCTTCTAGGCTTTAGAACCTTAAAATAATCTTAAAATTAACATTTCTAAAATAGTATAGGCATACAGTTACCAGACTTTCTGAACCAAAAACTGAAGATACCTGACAAAAGTTTTTTGTAATGTGAATTTATTTTCTGTCTCATGAACAAAATATAGGGATTAAGTCAGATTTATTTGAACATTTAAGGAAACATTTATTGAATAAAATGGAGTTATAAAAAAGAAAGCCAAAAAATATTCAGGAAGACAGTGTTTTAAATCATGAATATATGGGGAAATCTGGGCCATTTTGAGTACAGTAAATAAAACTAAAGAAAATACGAGCATTATCTTTGAATATTTTAGGTGACTTTCAGGACACCTTATTCATTGCTATTAATTCTGTAAAGAAGTGAAGTCTTCAAGAAACATAAATTTTGAGTTTTTAATTTATATCTGAACTATCATCACATCTGTATTTGATGAAGAACATGTAAAATACCTAAAATCTTGCTCATAAATGACAGTGTATTTTGATGGATGAAATAGTGTACATATATCGATGTCTCAGGGTGTGCACTGCCTACTAAGGGGTCTTCTTAGATTCAGCTAAACATGGAGACTCACGAGATTACCATAGACCATACCAGTCTACTTAAGGATATAGGACAGGAGCCACGGCTTGCTAGCAATACCAGCCCAAGTGCAAAGAGAGTGGATTTGCATCAGGTGAATGTGGGAATCACCCTGGCTTAGTAGCCTCATAGCGCATTGGAGTCAATACCTGTTGTAACAACGTGGATATACCTTCCAGGGTTCCTGTAAGGGGTGTGCTCACATTCAAGAGTCACTGTGCTCAGGAAGCCAAAGCATGGTGTCCCCATCAGGTGTTGGTGGTTCTCACAGTCCAGATGAAATATACTAATCAGGGGTCATTGTTACCATAGGTAATGTTGCCTAGAGAATAGCATTTTGTAAATCAGAAATATGCTCTTATAGATATTTTTCATTGACATTGAATTTCAGCCAGATTTGTATAAATAATTCAGATTAAATTTAAATGCTTAAAAATAAAATTTTTAAAAACCAATTTTGCTTTCTGTGTTAGTCCTTGCCCGACAAAGATGGGAAGAAATGCCTTTTTCTCATAAAATGTTTTGATAAGACCTTTGAAATCAGTGCCTCAGATAAGAAGAAGAAACAGGAGTGGATTCAGGGTAAGGCAGTTTTTATTATTTGTCATGATATAACTTGAGAGCTCTGACTTTGTATTTTTAATCTCATTAAAGATACTAAAGCATTGTTCCCTCATTGTAGTTATTTCTGCATGCAGCATAATAACTAAAAGAAAAACAAATTGAGGGGAGTTCCCAAATTTTTCATCAGTTTCATTTGCATAATGAACTTGTGGGAAAATTATAAACTGGACATTTTAAGTTTTATTTACTTTTACTATTTAAAGAGAATGGAATTTCCTCTTTTAAGGACTATGAAGAATTTTGAAGTGACCATCTGGAATTTTTAGTAATACAGAAAACAAAAGAGGAATAATGCCATCACTTTTGAATATTTCCAGTAATTTTTAAGATCTGTTATTTTCACAAGAAATCACTAGTTTCAAATAATTATTTCAAGAACATAAACTTTTGATTTAATAACTTTTAAACTGATTATTCTAAAATTAGTAAAGAATGAAACACTACGTATGAGATTTTTTTTTTTAATCATGAAAGTTCAGGGCTTCTGAATATGATATTCTTAGATATAAGTAAAATTATGTTATACTGAAAATTGTGGTCATTTTGATGTGGCTTAAGATTTTGAAGCAAGTGCACTTAGGTTTGAATCCTCTTTCCTGGGTCACTTGAATTGAATTATGAATTTTGTAGCTGTTTTTCCTCTTCTGTAGAATGGGGATAATAATAGTACCTACCTCTCAGGGCACCTGGGTGGCTCATTTGGTTAAGCATCTGTCTTCGGCTCAGGTCATGATCTCAGGGTCCTGGAATCAAGCCCCGCATCGGGCTCCTTGCTCAGCGGGGAGCCTGCTTCTCCCTCTCCTCCCTGCTCATGCTCTGTCTCACTACCTCTCTCTCGAATAAATAAAAAAAAATTTTTTTTAAAGACTTTATTTATTTATTTGACAGAGACACAGCAAGAGAGGGAACACAAGCAGGGGGAGTGGGAGAGGGAGAAGCAGGCTTCCCGCTGAGCAGGGA